TCTCAAGCCTGTCAAGGTCCCTCTGGATCCTATTCATAGATGACCTGATCTCATAGCAACAGAGTCAAAAGGATCATTTTTATCACCGATATCAACAGAAGATTCAAAACCAGAATAAAGAATGAGAAAACTTTACCTGTCCTCTTCAGACTGGGTACTCAGCTCAAGTCGAGCAAAAGCATCCATCTTTCTGTTCAGACGAGCTTTAAGAAAAGAGTGAAACATGTAGGTCTCCAAAACCTGCAAGACACAAACTAGTTAATTGTGGATCATTTAGAAATTACATTTTTATTAGCATGTTTCACTCATTTTTATTAGCATGTTTTACTAATTTTTATTATCTTTACATGGGAAAAGCAGAAAAAATCCAATTTAGTGATGACAAAACTAAAAATATTTGAAAGCTTCAACAACAGAACTAATTCAGTTCCCATTCACCTTCTGTACTTTCATATTTGCTTAGTTGCAAAGAGTAATCTCAGACGATGCTCCAAAAGATGAAACCAAACAAAAATGAGAAATATTGAGTAAAATAGAGAGGTTTAGCTACTGAAGTTTAACTGAAATATATTTTCTGCCTATAAATAAGTGATGCTAATATTGTCTGTGGTTTGCAATAAGAAGTGTAACATTATGTCATCAAACTGAAAAAATGAGTCAGCTTTTTTCCTGGTAACCCCCCCAAATTGTTCCCTATTACGGTAATTATTGTCGTGTCATCCAGAAATCATTTCTAAAAGGTCAAATTCATACTTTTAGGACAGAGTACACCACAAGAAATGCCAAGTGTGAATTTAAAAAAGTGGAAAGCTACCATCTTCCACCACTGTAAATTAAAACGAGATAAAAGCTAGGATTTCAGGCAATACAACTGATATAAATGTTAGCCCTAGTGCAGGGCTCTTCCTATTCTTTGAAATAAATAATTCAGAAAACTAATCCCTTCAGAAAATCAAATGCAAACTTCATCAGGAGACAATATCATTATAATCAGTAATCCTGTCTTCATACAGACTCCAGGTTTTACACTTACTAACAGACAGCTGTATCCTTGCATGTTAACTATGAAAAATCACTTTGATTAATGATATATCCCAGAGGTTTGCTGAAAAGGACTTGTTAGTCCTGGAGTTTATCAAAGGACAAAAAGAAAAAGAAAAGCAAACCACAAAACCCCACTGATCAGACATGAGTGTATTTCTGTGATGTTTTAAAAAAAGCAAATGAGAGAGATTAATAAGTAATCCGGGTACTCTGAAATTAATGGCAACATTTCATCAACAAATAGGTCATTCTTATTCCAGATGCCTCTTACCAATCCATTCACAATGTATCCTGTAAAATGACTTCTACAAAACCAGTAAGATTTCTGCTTTTAAGTATTTCTCCAGTAGATGGCATATTTTGTTGGCCATACAGGAGATAACAAGCTGCAGAAACTGAGAGAGTCCTTTCTAATGGCTTCTGGAGTTCTCTTAGCATAAGTCTAGATACCACTAGTAACTACTCCTTACTGTGTTATCTTCTAAGATTTACTTGAAGGCAAACTTGCCACTATGCTAATTAGTATCTTCTTAAATGTGCACATCTGAATTTTAAATTCATTTTAAATTTCAATTCGTTAAATTGCCACCGTTTCATTTATAGCATTAGAAACTGATACTGAAAATATTTTAATTATTCATGTTCATTTCAAATCCTGGTCAGAACATTTCCAATTAATTTCTGTCCTGATGATGTATTAATGTTGTATTAATGATGATGTATTAGAAGTTCTTTGTTTGTTTGCTTGTTTTTAAGAATGTTTGCTAGCATTGCAAGCTTTGTCCAAACACCTCCTACTTAGGATCCATCACTTTGTTATCTTTGAATTGCCAGATATTGTACAAGTTTGGCAACTACCACTTCAGGAGAATGAGATACTTTTCTGATCTTTTCCCTCACACACTGGCATGTCCTTTCAACAGATGTTCAGAAATGTTTTTCATCATGTGTGAAGCAGGAAACAAACAGGAAACAAAAAAGGTGTTCTCAGCCACGCCATGTTGAAGGTAACGAAGAGATCTTTTTGCCAGGTGTAAAACAGTTACTCCACAGAGCCAACTGCCAAATGCCAGTGGCAAAGGGAACCTCTGTACCTTTCACATGCACCCAGGAAGGAATATAATTAAAAGCAAATGTAAAATGGCAGATGCACTTTCTTACATTCCTTGTTAAACCTTTGCTTTGATCCACAGGTTTGTTAAATGAGCTATAGGATCGCCACAAAAAGCAAAGAGAGAACTCTGGGATCTGGGAGTCCTGGTGGGCAGCAGGATGACCATGAGCCAGCACTGTGCCCTTGTGGCCAGGAAGGCCAATGGCATCCTAGGGTGTATTAGAAGGGGGGTGGTTAGTAGGTCAAGAGAGGTTCTCCTCCCCCTCTACTCTGCCCTGGTGAGGCCACATCTGGAATATTGTGTCCAGTTCTGGGCCCCACAGTTCAGGAAGGACAGGGAACTGCTGGAGAGAGTCCAGCACAGAGCCACCAAGATGATGAAGGAAGTGGAGCATCTCCCTTATGAGGAAAGGCTGAGGGAGCTGGGGCTCTTTAGCTTGGAGGAGAGGAGACTGAGGGGAGACCTAATTAATGTTTATCAATATGTTAAGGGCAAATGTCATGAGGATGGAGCCAGGCTCTTCTCAGTGATGCCCAATGGTAGGACAAGGGGCAATGGGTGTGAGCTGGAACACAGGAGGTTCCACTTAAACATGAGAAAAAACTTCTTTACGGTGAGGGTGACAGAGCCCTGGGACAGGCTGCCCAGGGAGGTTGTGGAGTCTCCTTCTCTGTAGACAGTCAAGACCCGCCTGGACACCTTCCTGTTTAATTTCATTAAATTGATGATCTTTTGAGGTCCCTTCCAATCCCTAATATTCTGTGATTCTGTAACTCAGTAATATTTTACTTTGGAGAAGCTTTATCAGCACGTGTCTTACAGCTGGTTAGAGTAAGAGGCTACTTAATAAAGTATCTGTTAAAAACTGTTATGTAAATTGCATCAAAGGGGACAAGAAGCTGAGGAAGATGTCTTGCATCCCTTCAGAAATCAGGTATTGACCACAGACTGTCCCAGTACAGGGTAACAGTCTTCAAAACAATTATTCTTTCCTTTAAGTAAGGTAAACTTTTTGTTTGGTTAATAACCATGATACTTAAAATAAAAATTGTAAGTTTATAACTTTGGATTTTGGCCTGCTGTGTCAAGACCAAATTCTCACAGAACACTGTACGTGGCCAGACACAAACCCTCAGAACATGTAAATTCTGTTTCTCACATACACAACAGCTTAGTTTAATTATTTGAAGGTAAATATTAATTTAATCAGGTGCAAACAGGTTAATGTGAAATAACAGCAAGGATGAAAGTCTCAACCTTCCCACTTCTGGCCAAAGTACCCTAACACTGCAAGAGACTCTTGCAGGAACCTGCGTACTCTTAATCTCTCTTTCTCTCCCTGCTCCTTTCATACAATCACAGAATGCTGTGAGTTGGAAGGGACCCACAAGGATCATCGAGTCCAACTCCTGTCCCTGCACAGGACAATCCCAACATTCAGACCATGTGTCTGAGGGCACATGTTGGCCAAATGCTGCTGGAATATTGTCAGGCTTGGTGCCATGATCACCTCCCTGGGGAGCCTGTTCCAGGGCTCCACCACCCTCTGCCTCAAGAACCTTTTCCTCATGGCCAACCTCACTCTCCCCTGGCACATCTTCCTGCCATTTCCCCTGGTCCTATTTGGTCACCAGAGAGAGGAGATCAGTGCCTGCCCCTCCTCTTCCCCTTGGGAGGCAGTTCTGGACCACGATTAGGTCTCCTCTCAGTCTCCTCTTCCCCAGGCTGAACAAACCAAGTGACTTCAGCCTCTCCTCATACAGCTTCCCCCCTAAACCCTTCACCAATTTTGTGGCCCTTCTATTCCCCCTTCCTTTCTCCTTCCTTCTCACCTAAGGATCTCCAACCTTTGATGGTCAGTGACAGTCCTACACCAAAAGCATGGAGAACTGCTCTAAATCCTACAGCCTGGTGACCAAGACATTCTCCTTTTAATGAGGAAATTAAACCCACATCATTTCCTTAATTATTCCTTAATATTTCCTCACAAAGCCATTAAATAAAAACCAGACTCATGCACCAGTACTGTCTGTGCTCCAGAGGAAAACAGACTGCATCCTTCATAAAAACCTGGGTCACTGTACACACTGGCTGACAATGGAATCATTTTGGAGCATCAGCAGATCAAGCTTATGCTAACAGAGGGATCAAGCTGATCAGGGCAGGTGCAGAAGAGACCCAGGGAATGTATGGAACAACTCCACACCTCTACAGGGTTTCAAACCCTGGTAAGTATTTAATAAACTGAGTTAGCAGGAGGGCTAAGGAAAAGTAAGTGGGGATCTCAGGGTGTCCTTTGCCTCTGGAATTACTGGGACAGGCCCAAGGCTGTGCACTACTGGAGTATTACCTCACGGGTTTCACCAGCACCTAAAAGTAAAGTACAGTTACACTGGCTGGTAAAGCACACGTAAGCTAAATCAACTGATGTCCTGCAGGCCCTGTCACACTGCAGGTCCCAGGGACACCAGTGCCACTCACAGGCTCAGTCAGCAGCGTGCGGTTGCTGTGATGCATTGTGGAAAACAGGCTTTAAACTGGAAGAGGGGAGATTGAGATGAGATCTGAGGAAGAAATTCTTTCCTGTGAGGGTGGTGAGACACTGGAACAGGTTGCCCAGAGAAGCTGTGGCTGCTCCTCCCTGGAAGTGTTGAAGGCCAGGTTGGATGAGGCTTTGAGCAACGTGGTCTAGTGGAAGGTGTCCCTGCTGATGGCAGGGGGGTTGGAACTGGATGGTCTTTAAGGTCCCTTCCAACCCAAACCATTCTCTGATTCTATGGCCTGGAGTCAAGCAGGCATCATCAGTTCCACACCCTGCTGCTGTTCATGCTGAAGATAAAGCAGATACTTCAATTTTTGTCACCTGAGCTCCCTTCTGCTGTGCTCACAGGCTTGATGAAAACTCATGTCTCCATGTGGGCTTCAGTCCAAACAGTTTGGAGAGGTGCCTGTGCTTAAACTACAGTTTAGGTGCAGCTTTACTGACCATCTGCCATAGGTTAACTTCATGCCTGAGGAATTACATTTCATGTGCTCTGGAAATACATAGTATCTTGCTCTCCAAAATGCTCTCTACTAGTTTATTTGTTTACAGTAAATAGAATAACTTTGTTAAAGCATTATGTGAAAGCTAGTGGTTCAACACCACCACGCAGACAAAACTGTGACCATTCTACTAATTTTTTGCGTTAATCCTAGAAATACAGATTAATAACAGAGATTTACAACATATTTAACACTTAATTTACCTTTTTGTAAAATGGCTGGTCTCCGATTGCCCTTGTTTTCAGAAATTCTTCACTGTTAAATACTCTGTGTTCATAATTTAGATGGTCTTTTACCTCCCTGGAGACAAAAATGAATAAATAGATAAATACACTTGGAGATTTGTCAGCAAGTTGCACTTTTATCACAGAAGCAGCCCACTGGTACTACCAGACACATGCTGCAGTATCAGAAGGCAAAATAGAATTATGCTGCAGCATCAGAAGGCAAATTCAGTTTTAATGAACAAGCCTGAGCTACTGAGTCACAGAAAAAGAAAGGAAACTCTTCTAAGTAGTAAGACATGCTGCCTGTGGCCACTGCCATTCCAAATCAGCAAGTTCACTTATGGAGTCTGTAGGATCAATTTTAGTAACCCATAGAGGAGAATCTATATCAAAGTATCACAGAATGGTGGGGGTAGGAAAGGACCTCAGGAGATCATCTAGTCCAACCCACCTGACAAAGCAGGTTCCCTACAGCAGGTTGCACAGGACGGCATCCAGGTGGGTTTTGAACATCTCCAGAGATGGAGACTCCACAACCTCTCTGGGCAGCCTGTCCCAGGGCTCCAACACCCTCACAGTAAAGAAGTTTTTCCTTAGGTTTTTCTGGAACTTTCCGTGTTTCGCCCCTTGTCCTGTCACTGGGCACTACTGAAAAGAGCCCGGCCCCATCCATTTGGCCCACACATTTCAGATGATTTATCGACACTGATAAGGTCCCCTCTGTCTGCTCTTCTCCAGGCCGAAGAGTCCCAGCTCTCTCAGCCTTTCCTCATAAGAGAGATGCTTCAGGCCCCTCATCATCTTTGTAGCCTCCACTGGACTCTCTCCAAAAGATCCCTGTCCCTCTTGAACTGAAGAGCCCAGAACTGGACACAATACTCCAGATGTGGCCTCACCAGGGCAGAGTAGAGGGGGAGGAGAACTTCCCTCGACCTGCTGGCTACGCTCTTTTTAATGCACCCCAGGACACTACTGGCCTTCCTGGCCACAAGGTCACACTGGTGGCTCATGGCCAACCTGCTGTCCACCAGCACACCCAGGTCCTTTTCCACAGAGCTCCGTTCCAGCAGGTCAGCCCCCAACCTGTACTGGTGCATGTGGTTATTCCTCCCCAGGTGAAGGACTCTACGCTTGCTCTTGTTGAACCTCACCAGGTTCCTTTCCACCCAACTCTCCAGTGTGTCCAGGTCTCATTGAATGGCAGCACAGCCTTCTGGTGTGTCAGCCCCTCCTCCCAACTTCATGTCATCAGCAAACTTGCTGAGGGTGGACTCTATCCCTACATCCAGGTTGTTGATGAAGACATTAAACAAGACCAGACCCAGCACTGACCCCTAGGGAACACCACTGGTCACAGGCCTCCAACTGGATTCTGTGCCACTGATCACAACCTTCTGAGCTCTGCCAGTCAGCCAGTTCTCAATCCCCCCCCCCATCCACTCATCTATTCCATACCTTCTGAGCTTTGCTACAAGGATGTGAATTTAAGTCATGACTGAGGTTCCAATCCTGGAATTACATTCACATACACAGTTCCTGGATCACACACAACCCACCTGGAGCACTAAAAAGACAAGTGTACTTCTCTGCATTGATGTGATCTGACCTCACACTGTCCCACTACATTGTATATGTAACATGCACATGAAATATCATAGATTATGTAAGTTTTTGCTGCACTCTTAAACTCTGCTCATAAAGCCAGCAGGAACTGCAAATTTTATTAAACTAGAGAGACAGAACTATTGAAATAAAAGAGAAAGTGGGATAAAGAACCGATGCATGTTTTAGTATATGCATGGTCACCACAGGCAGCAGAGGCCCTGAACCATCCCTGGAACACCAGACATCAACAGTAACTTCTGTGCTCTAAAGGTGAGCCAGAAAAAGTTGTTTCAGGAGCAAAAACTAGCAGTTTTTCAGAAAAAAAGCTGTTATCTCAACTGAATTCTGTGAGTAAGAAATGATAAATTATTTAAGCTAGATAAGTGCAAGTAGCTAATACCAGGACTCCTTTTATTATGACATCTTATTTCCTGGGTATCAAGGAATAAGAAATTCCTATGAAAACACATGAATGAACAAGAAGTTGGTGAGCTAAAGTCTGGATGCAAGCACAGAAGGGGAATCTCATACCCATGCAGAAAACTGACAGTTCCATACATTGCTAATCTTTCATAAATCAGTGATAAAAGCCCATTAACAGTTTATCAAGCCATATGGGTGCAGAAAAAATATTATTAGCAAAAGTACATAGTTCTATATAATTCTACATAATTTAGCATTGTTTGCTTTAAACATGGAACCTCCACGCACACAAAAACACTACAGTGCTTCACTGAAGAGAGCAGCAACTGGCAGCACCACTGCATCAGAGATCTACTTTCCTTCACTCCTGGATGCTGGTAGATACAGCATTAGAAGACAGAAGAAACAAGGCTGAAAAAAAAGAACAAAGAAAGAAAGTTTGAAGGAAAGGAGAAAGAAAGCAAGAAAAGAATCAATCCCTTTGCAAAACATATTATCTCTTAGAGAGCAGAGATTTTTTGTAGCCAAGTGTTTAGTGCATTAAAGAGTTAAAGCTGTTGGCAGCAAAATGCATTTCTCCTCATCTTTATCTGGAACATATTGTTGTCAAGCACCGAAATCCATCAAATCCCAGAGTGGGAACACATCAGGTTGTAAATACATTCCATTTTCCACATCCAGCTGTGCTAGCTGTAAAGTCTGTTCTATCCTCCATACCCAGCAGCTATTTTTCCCCTGGAGGGTTCAGCCACTTGTATGAACACTCCCAAAGTTGATCCAACAAATGGGAGCAGGTTAACAGAGACCTGGTATTTGGACTGTATAAATTAACCCAGCACCTTCTGACTCAAAGTGTTAGGGTGCATTCATGTGAGTATTTGGTAACTGATCCAAAACAAGCACCATCTCCCGCAAGAGGCAACAAGAAATAGCTGGGGATGGATTTCTGCACAACTACTTGCAGACCTCTGTCCATACAATTAGGTTCTTTAGAAATACCAGGTAGGAAGTTTCATTTTCATGGTTGAGTTATGTCAGTATCTACATAAAAAGAAATGAAGCACATACAAACCAGCCATCCATTTTCTGCACTTTTTTGTATGAATCACCTACCACACTTCCATTCTCCCCTCAAATACAAGTAAATAAATAGCAGGATTTACAACCAGTACCCAGACTGGTAAGATAAAGCAACTGTGGTTATCAATATATTAGATTAGATTAAGAACAAGGAAAATTAGTATAGCTCGACCCTTTTCTAGAGAAGAAAAAAAAAAAAAATCAACCAAAAAAACCCCCAAAATCTACTCCACATCATTGGGGAGGGACTTTTCATGGACTTTTCATAAGGGCAGTTAATGACAAAACAAGGGGAAATGGGTTTAAGCTGAAAGAGGGCAGGGTTAGATTAGATATGAGGAAGAAGTTCTTCACTGTGAGGGTGGTCAGACACTGGAACAGGTTGCCCAAGGAAGTTGTGGATGCCCCCTCCGTGGAAGTGTTGAAGGCCAGGCTGGATGAGGCTTTGAGCAACTTGGTCTAGTGGAAGGGGAGTTGGAACTGGATGATCTTTAAAGTCCCTTCCAACCCAAACCATTCTATGATTAAAATGTCAGTCCCAACCACACCCAGTACCCAGCATTTTTTGTGCCAACATTGTGTCCTTGAGCTTAAATAGCTCCTCTCCCTCCTTCATTCTAATGTGGTTGCACTCTCCAGATGCCTCATCCACTCCCAGCATTTGTACAGGTAACCAAAACACACCCAGGCGTTCCAAACTCCTGATCCTGCTTTGAATTCACTTTCCTCTAACAAGAGTGACCAAGATTGTGTCCAGTTACAAACTGATACCCCTACCGGGCCTTAGGCTTTTCCTAATTACAAAATATGAGGACTGGACTTGTCTTCCTGGAATCCTCATACAAAAGACGCACAAGTTCAAAACTAGAACAGTTTTAGCTAAGATTTCCTAGTAATGCATCCAAACACATTCATTACTGATATTCCATCAGGCTAGCAGGACCTCCTTCTCATATTCCCTCACACAAGTCTTAAGTTAGATTTACAAAATATCTACAAAGTAAGACAAAATAAAGAGTATTTTCACAGTAGCAGTGGAAGTGTCTTAACCAGCACCATATGCTCTTATAATAAAATACTATATCCACTCACCTGAAGATATTAACAATTAACTGCAAAGTCATTTGCTGAACTTCTGTATTCAGTTTCTGTTGCCAAGCCCTTCTACGCATTTGGAGTTCACCGAGATCTGTGCTGGCTCGGAGATGGCAGAGCTCTAGGTCATAATGCAGCTGAAGACTCTCCACTCTACACAGAAGAAAATTATCAAGTTACAACCTAACTCTTAACAATTTTTTTCATACCTTTTAAAGAAAAAGTCATTAAGGCCTCATGCATCTCACAGCTAGAGGAAATGCAAGATTGAGTTGCAAGTGTTGACAAGCTAACAAGACTCCTGGAAGTCTTACTAGTGCATATAAATCACAGTGCACTCAGTCTTTGTAAAGAACATTAAAGTTCAGGGAATAATCCGTATCGGTAATAAAGAAAGAAACAACCATTCCAGGCGCTGCAAAATAATAAGCAGTCATCATCATAAGCATAAAGTTACCTGTATATTAATTAATTGAATTTTTCAATTTGTCCTTATCAAATAGTGTGATTTATATATGAATGAAATAATATAATAATAAACAATACAAAATAAAAAAATTAGGAAGAGGGTCAAGCATGATTTATGCACTATGATAAAACACAACTTCAACATCTTTTCACCTTTTTATGAAAGTTTCTGCTGCTTGTGCTGGAACATCTGGAATTTCAGGTTCTTCTTCAACCATTTTTGAATGTGTAATATCTCCATTATCAATATTAATTAGAATTAAGTCTTCAGTTTCCTTTTAACAAAAGAAAACAGAATGACTGTAAATATACATTTAAAAACATTTACTACTTCTTTATATAGTCATCAGGCAATGAATTATTTCAGCAAGAAGAAAAACCAGAAAACAATTGACTTTTTTCCCCTCCCAATTAGAAGATCATATGGATTAACTAAATAATTACTTTCAAGACAAGTAAATGTCATTAAATTAATAGATATTAATCTCCATACACAAACATTTGGTGACCTAATCTACTCTTCATACAGCATTAAATACATACTGTATCTCTAAGCCTATTCTTGAAAAGGTATACATATGAAGATATGTACAGAACCAGATACATGCACACAAAGCAGCTCCCTAAAAGCTAATTTACAGTGTTTACTCCTGCACTTACCCTGTAGGGTGACTGGGTGAGGGAGTGTTTATATATTGGAGTCTCAAACATGGAAACACACGTAAGAGACAAAGTCAGATGGAGGTAAAGTCCATGCTGATCTCTTAATGTGCAATTTTAATAACCTTAAAGATCAGACTATAACACAGTATGTACAAACAAACATAAAATGTTTCAAATTATATCAAAGAAAAGTGTGTTTTCTAATCTGCACTTACTTCTGATAGTGACATCATCTTACTGCTAACTAAAAAAAAAATTTAAAAATTATCTATTTAATCTAAACTTAACTGTTTGCTCATTTTGCACTTGACTAGATGGACCAATTTCATTTTGTCTTATAATCAGATGGATTAATCTAATATAAACTCACACAATTTTTCTGTGTTTGGTTTCGAACACTCACAAAAAACCTATGCAACAGCCTCAAAACAGCATATGCACGTTAGCCTTGCCCTAGGAAGCTGAGTTTTTCTTAAATCTTTTTGGGGAAACAAGATTAATGTTACTTATTGAAAGAGGCTTAGTTAAGTAAGACTTTTAAAAAAAAAATAAGACCAAAAAACTCCCAGAAAAAATGTGAGATTATATTATTTACGCTGCTTTTTCTTTCTTACTTTACTGAATACTTAACTCCATCATGGGGAACAGCAGCATCATTAAGAGTATTTTCAAGTGCATGCTTAATTCTTAACCCAGATGCCTGGAAAAAGCATCTAATTCATCCCACACAATTCTTAGAGCAAAAAATAACCTCAGTGATCTGAAGGGCAACTATTTATATGATACAAATGACATAAGTAGAATTTTTCTCCCAAACGAAACATGAACTTGCAAAAATCATATTACCCTGCAAAGAAAAGAAAATAAAGGGATACAACAGTAAGTTTTTTTCCAACAAGCCAGTGGACACATCAGTATGGCTCCATTACTTTTAATTTATGCATTTCTTAAACACCTAAATAATAAAAGCAAGTTTCTAGATGCATCTGAAAGAAGCACAGCGACAAATGCACTGCAAGTGAACAGCAAGAGGGGTGACAGACTAAAACATACCGTGCTAACTTCTTCAAAATGATCAATATGACATCCCATCAGAAAAGATGTTGGGGCCATCACAAAATCCAGCATGTGACGAGACAGAATAGGCACAAAAGTGTGTTGCCACTGAAGAGGATGAAGGTACAACATAAAGCATTCGGCAATGAGAGTCAGCAGAGCCCAGTCAGAAGAGAAGAAAACTATTCTCTGCTCAGTCAAAATACAGGTCATAATCTGGAAAAAACAAAATGCTAAATGTTTATGAAGAGTTATATCTCAAACACACAAGATATGTGAAAATATTTCATCTGCTTGGGAAACAGCCTAACAAGTTCTGTTTTCTAACGGCTACCTTATATATTTTTAAATTGAAATAACATCCACTTCAGAATTCTTACAAAATTAAGAATAGAGGAAAACAGAAAAGGAGAGAAAAATTCAAGTGACACTGGAAACTCAGTGAGAGTTTTGCCACCAATGTCAATAAGGCTGGGATTTAGCTGGAATTACTAAGAAAACCTGTTGCCTTTCTTTCGCAGTATCGGACTGTAAAATGCCTGTGAAAAGAAGAACTTGGATGAAGAACATAAGCAAACCTGTCTTTGATGATGAACACAAAGACTATCGAAGTTTCAGGCATCTCAGCCAAACATCCAACCATGTAACAAGTGACAGGACAAGAGGAAATGGCCTCAAGTTGTGCCAAGGGCAGTTGAGATGGGATGTGAGGAAGAATTTCTTTGCTGAAAGGGTTCTGAGGCATTGGAAGGGGTTGCCCAGGGCAGTGGTGGAGTCCCCATCCCTGGAGGGATTGAAGAGTCATGTAGACATAGTGCTGAGGGACATGGGTTAGTCGGGGACTTGTCAGTGTTGGGTTAATGACTGGACTCAAATGATCTTAAAGGTCTTTTCCAATTGAGGTAATTCTGGGATCCTGTGATCTATTCAGGACTCCAGCTAGTCATATTCCTGCGAAGTGCCACTAGAGAGCAGTGCTTTCACAGAGCAATTCAGGAAGCTATCTGGAGATGTCCACCCTTTTCCACTGACAGGGAGACCCAATGGCATCTAAGCACCAAACTCAGAATCCTCAAGTTAGGTGGGATGAATCCAAGCCAAGAAAACTGAGGGCACATGTGGGACATCTCACAGAGGTGCTGACACATGAACTCCATGCTCAGGATGCACCAGTTGCAGAGGACCATTTAGGATTTCCAATAGAATAGACTATTTCAGTTGGAAGTTTTATTCATAATGCACATGCAGGCAGGAACCCACACAGGTGGAAGAATGGCCATATCCTGCTTTCAGGACTGAGGAGGTTTACCAGCATCCCTGGAAAGATGCCTCCAACCTGCTCTTTTTAGAGGAAGTGGCACCAATAATACTGATGACCTTGAGTAACCTCATTTAACTTCACAGGTGGCCTTTGAGCAGAGAGTTGGATCAGGAAACTTACAAAGGATGCCCCAAATCAAAATTATTCTACAGTTTTATGAAGCACTGAAAAAATTCTTTGCAAATAGCTTTTGGTATTTTCTTGTCTTTCTACACCATTTCCACTTCTTTCTATGAGAACACCAACTGTTACCAATCCATCCCACAGGTCCCTCTCTCACACATGAAAAGGATCCTCGTGAATCATGTAAAAATGCATCTCATGAGAATTCAAAACAGAATCTGTCAATCAGCTTGGGCATTTATATTTTAAAATATATGCTTAAGAAATTTAGCACCTACTGCTAAACCATACAAGGAAGAAATTCAATATGCTTTAATCTAATCCAGTCTATAAATAACAAAGTATCTTAAAAAGAAGTATATTTTATTGTACCATAATATGCAGAACTAATACTATTCCAAATTCTTGGGTTAATAATGTTTTTTGGGTAACTGAACATTACCCAGTTGTTTTTTTTTAAACCACAAATTACCAGTACTGTCAATCTCTAATACATTTCAAAGTATAAATTAGTTTTACCTGTAGCACCTGCTTTGGCTTGAAACACAGCAATGGAAGATGAAGATCCAAGTCAATAATTGGACTGTCTGGATCCTCTCGTGAAGGAATTATTATCTGAAGTGGTTTCAGATTAAATACCTGTAATAACAGAAGTTTCCCATTTACTTCTTAACGAACATGTCCCCACAACACATTTAATTTGGGATTTTAGTTCCAACTACAAAATATTAACATTAATTGAGAGCAAGAAGACAGGTATTTGCATACTGCAGAAAACAGAAATAGAGGGAAATATTAAAAGGTATAATAACTAGCCTGAAATATTAACATGGACTTTGTCTCCTTTTATTCTTATCGGTTGTTTAGCCAATAAAACTTTAAATATATGTATATATATTCTTTCAATGTAATTAAACTTGCTTTAAGCCTAATAAAACAATGGAATTTATATTTGTAGATACAACTGAGAAATCAAAAGTATTGATAAAATTCATCCAAGAAACAGAAAAAATATGAACAAAAGAAACAAGCACAGGTGCTCGTGTTAAGAAGACAGAACAAGCCAAAACAAATGAGTTCTTTCAGCATTTCAAATACTCCAGCTCAAATCTCTGGGGGTCAGATCCTGCACGTGCTGCGTATCTCAGCGCTTAGCAGCTGGTTTAGCCAATCATTCCATTTTCCAGCTATGCTATTTTTTCCTCCACTCCTAACCCCTCATCCCAGGGTCAAGGAAAGCAGCTAAGGCGAAGTCCACAGCTGAAGCACTGATTCCCTAGAAGCCATTTCAGTAGACAAAAAGGAAAACATGCTGAAAATCACCGAAGGGTTAGAAAGAAGAAAATACAGCCCACACATCTCAGCTTCCACACTGAACACAAATGTCTACTTGAGTTTCTCCTCTCAGCTAGGTCTTATCCAGGCAGCAGACAGTCCAGAACATTTAATCCATCACACACTGTTCTGCTTCCCCAGAGTCACAGACACGACAAAAGAACAAGTCCAGAGCTGTGTGTGTTGCTCCAGGAACTGATTTCTTTGGCCTCTTTTCTGTCACAGGTACTGCGCTAATTCTGAGTCACGTCACTGTACGTCCACCCATCACACAATCAAGATGACAGCCATGAGCATCCACATCAGGCAGCGGGTCTTGCTACCAAAGAATCATCAAATGGTTTGGGTTGGAAGGGACCTTTAAAGCTCATCTAGTCCAACCCCCCTGCAGTGGGCAGGGACATCTTCAACTACATCAGGTTGCTCAGAGTCGCACCCAACCTGACCTTGGATGTTTCCAGGGATGGCGCTTCTACCACCTCTCCGGGCAACCTGGGCCAGTGTTTCACCACCCTCAGTGTAAAAAATTTCTTCATTATATCTAGTCTAAAACTCCCCTCTTTTAGTTTAAACCATTTCCCCTTGTCCTATCGCTACAGGTCCTGCTAAAAAGTTTATCCCCAGGTTTTTTTATAAGCTCCCTTCAAGTACTGAAAGGCTGCAGTAAGGTCTCCCTGGAGCCTTCTCTTCCCCAGGCTGAACAGCCCCAACTCTCTCAGCCTTTCTTCATAAGAGAGATATTCCATACCTCTTAACCTTCTTTTGGCCTCCTCTGGACCTGTTCCAACAGGTCCATGTCTTTCCTGTGCTGAGGACTCCAGAGCTGGACACAGCACTGCAGGTGGGGTCTCACCAAAGCGGAGCAGAGGGGCAGAATCCCCTTCCTTGACCTGCTGCCCACGCTGCTCTGGATGCAGCCCAGGACACGGTTGGCTTGCTGGCTGTGAGCGCACATTGCCGACTCACGTCTAGCTTGACACTGGGGATTGCCCTCACCCAGGTGCAGGGCCTTGCACCTGGCCTTGTTGAACCTCATGAGGCTCACACAGGCCCACTTCTCAAGCTTGTCCAAGGTTCCTCCAGATGGTATCTTGTCCCTCAGTTGTGTCAACCAAACCACTCAGCTTGGTGTTGTCTGCAAACCTGCTGAGGGTGCGCTCAATCCCCCTATGTCACTGATGAAGAGATTAAACAGTACTGGTTCCCATATGGACCCCTGAGGAACACCACTCATCACTGATCTCCATCTGGACATTGAGCTGTTGACCACTACTCTCTAGATGTGACCATCCAACCAACTCCCAACAAGACAGGGAACTCCTACACTTTGGTTGAGTGTTAGTTACATGATTTACTGGAGTTAGTATTGTGTATTCAATGAGATGGCAATAGCACATGTTCAAGTGAAAGGTAAACTTCCACTCTTACAGACAGAGCAGCTACAGACTGGAGCTTCCAACTGCTTGTGTTAGAGATTATGTGGTCTGCCCCCCTAAAAACCAAAACCTAGATTATGCAGTCTCCAGAACTACTCAGGCATCATTTCAGACAGTAACTAGTTGGTATGAGCAAAATCCTTCCCAGAAGAGTATTAAAAACCAAACAGCATGACCAACTGGTCTGCCAGTGCTCACACCTGCAGCCTGGTCACACTGTTCTTTCACATACTAATAATGCATAGTCTTATTTTCCAAGCAGAGACACTGACATCAGTTTTATATCAGCAAGTAAAATGTCTGACCTGACAGTGCAGAATGTCCCCCAATTTATAGAAAACAAAATCTTACTGCTTTATAAGACATAATGTTAAAGTCATTATGAAATTCAGCATCAGTAATTACCAAGTGGAGTGGTCCTGGTGGAGGGCTGGGTATTAAAAATAATTTTGCTGCAAATTCTTTTATGTGCTCCTCAACATCTAAATCCTTGAATGGTCGCAGTTGCACTAGTAAGCTGAAATTAAATTACAGAAAATTACTTGTAAATAGTAAAGCCTTTTTGCTGATAATCTGGAACTAAAAGAAAAAAAATATATTAGAAGCAATGAAGCTATTATTCCAGCTAATTAATTTCTAATTTATTAGCTACTTTAGTGGCTCCGTTTAATTTTAATGATGCTGTTGTGTCAGAAGAAGATTTTTTTACTTCCATGCATAACTTACTACTGCATTATATATATCAGAGGATGCAGATGGCACACTGGGTCTCACAACAGCAACAAAAACCTAGAGGGAAGATGCAGTTAAAGGAAGTGTCTTACAGAGATTGCTGAGGAACAAAAAACCCACAGCTGCAACATAGTGCCATGGTGTTCCTCCCACCCCAAGTGTAAGACATGAGCTCTGGGATGGAAAACACCATCAGAGGAAAAAAAGTTGTAGGCATGGGTTTAACTACAGGAGAATGTGAAGCAATACTTAGTGTAAGGCCTGGACCTGCACAAACACTGCTCTTTGCTGTTGTTCCTACTCATACAAAGAACAAATACAGTGTGCAAACCTCTCAAATGTTTCTATTTTAGAACTGTATCACCCTAGCTGTGTCAAAGCCACCAAGGTCATGCAGTTTATATTATATGCCAGCTCAATTCATGAACATTTAAACACACGTGCTATGAAGAATGCAAACCCTTAAGTCCAACACCACTTCTGAAAGGTAAGAATTAAGAAGTTCAGTATTTGTAATCAGAAAGGGCATTTTGTTCAACATAAATTCACGTGCATGTTCATAGCAAAAACAAAAAAGACCCTAAAACTTTACAACATCAGAAATGTAAGCCTGCAAATCTATATCTACAGAAACTAGGAACTTATTACAGCTTTATTCTCCTTCGAGGTTTTACTTCAGTTTGCAATTTTACTCGTTTCCTGCAGAAGAATCCTTGATCTTCAGCAAGAAAGTGGTCTAGAAAGCAACTGAATAGGTCAAGAGATACATTAGAATCCAGGACAACATCATATTTGTTTATGGCATTTAAATTCCTGTGTAAAAATATTCTGTCATATATTACCATGCTTTTAACTAAATTAATGAGACATTTAAATTTACTAAATTCACATTTGGAAACTGCCTTGGACTGAGTACTAAGCTGTTACACATATCCCCAAAAAGCCCATCAGCAATTTAGGGGTGAAGGGGAGAAGAATTTAAGAATTATCAAAGAAAACCAGACAGTAGAGTCATCAATTTAAACAAATATGCTGTCACATTTAGTAACATCTTAGATGCCCAACAGCATAGGTAGACATGCACTTTTTTTCTTTTTTTGAGATAAAAAGCACATATCAACACATCCAGTAAATGTTACAAGGGGAACAATCTGACCCCATTGCTGAAAAAGCAGATGTAGAGAAAGGACAGTAAGAGCTCCCTAATCAGCACACTGTGCTGATTAATACAATGTAATAGCAGCTGACAGCTCTGCGCTGCAAATGTCTGCTGAAATAAATGAAATAACCTCTGAAAGATTAAAGGGGAGAGCTAAGGAGTTTATGAACCTGCCATTACCTCCATTAACTGTCCACAGACAGATGTTTCAGAAAGTAAGAACATCTAAGAATAGGTCCTTTGTACAGCCTCAATGCTGCGAGCTCTTTGCACGCTTCCACCTTTGCTGAGGGCAGTTGAAAGGATTAATGGACAGGTTGGAAAATTTGCTGTTTGAATGGAGCCTATTCATCCATCCGAGATGGGATTTCATCCAGAAGGAGATTACTGCCAGGAATATTTCACTTTTCATGTAGCATAACAGACTGAGGTAGAAGTACCTGTGCAAATTGCTAAAACCTCTCAATTTAAAACTGAACCTTTTTTGAAAAATGATGTAGAATAATATAACAGCCACAGTGTTGTGAAACGGTCTGGATGCACATCTGCTTGGCTTTGGTGAGAGGCAGACATGTTCCATTCAAATTGCTCTGGGTTTGGATGCACTGAACGCTAGTAATATGTGAATTAGTTATAAAATTAATTACAAAGAATATGAAGATCTTTGTTACTGTGATGGAAGTTTGCAGTTCAAAGCATCTACCTCGATTTATAGGTTGATGTTGTCTTTGTAGCTCAGTTCAGTCTTAATCTGCAGTTGTGATTTCTACTATGTCATTGCAAAAAGTTTAGGAAGCTGGGTTTTATCTGGGAATACTTATGATAATAAAATACCTTTGAGGACTCCTCTGAATGAAAACAAGCACCACCCCACCTATAAGCAATTCTATGCACTGCAGGTGCTGGAGAAAATAAACGATGCACAGCAGAATTCTGGAGGAAAATGAAATCTTTTGCTGCAAAAAGGTCCTGAATAGAAGCAGAACCCCTTCAGGGGCTACTTCAACATCAGGCCTTCATCAGCAATAACAATTAGTATTTTTCCACTAGTTCTCATGAGGAAGGGGCTACACACTACAAATAGGAGGTTTGAGGTCCACCAGCAAGTGTTTTCATACCTTCAGACTCGCAGAATGATTAATCAGTTGAAACATCCTGCAGAACACCACTGAAGCATACCAAGGATACAAGTGCTCTGAGGAACGTGTTATTAAGTATGTGAGGCACTACTACTTGAGTAATGCTCAGTCAACAAAAACATTTAATTAGATTTTTAACCCACTGGCCACCTGATTGCAGCTAAGGCATCCAAAATGACAATAAATCCCCTTCCGGTTTACAGGAAAACAATGTCAATGTTTTGTAATGTTACAAAAAGCTGAAATATCCCCAACTGCACAGGGTATTATGCTCAAAATATATCATTGAAGTCTTTACTGTAATTGCTGATATTCCAATCAGAACAGCCATAGAGAAAAATTCCAGTAACACAATCAAAATAAGGAAAAAATGGTATCTCTCCACCCCTTCCTTTCCTCCCACTCAGGTATACTCTGGCACGGTAAAATATCTTTTAAAAAAACAACAACAAAAAAATCAAACAGAAGGGCAGAGATTCTGAAACTACCTATCACACAGCATAAAGGAAAATACACGGCGGGATTTAAAAAATAATTTTAAAAAATCCAGAAGAAAATAGCATGGAAACTTTATCAGCTGAGTTTCCAGCTCTGAAGAGAAGGACTTGGGAGTGGTGGTGAGTGAGAAGCTGAACACGAGCAGACAATGTGCGCTTGCAGCCCAGAGGCCAATCACCGTGTCCTGGGCTGCATCAAGAGAAGCGTGGCCAGCAGGTCGAGGGAGGTGATTCTGCCCCTCTGCTCCACTCTTGTAAGGCCCCACCTGGAGTACTGCGTCCAGTTCTGGAGCCCCCAACACAAGAGAGACCTGGAGCAGCTAGAACAAGTCCAGAGAAAGGCCACCAGGATGATCCGAGGGATGGAGCACCTCTCCTATGAAGACAGGCTGAGAGAGTTGGGGCTGTTCAGCCTGGAAAAGAGAAGGCTCCGGGGAGATCTTATAGCAGCCTTCCAATACCTGAAGGGGGCCTACAAGAAAGCTGGGGAGGGACTTTTCATAAGGGCAGTTAATGACAAAACAAGGGGAAATGGGTTTAAACTGAAAGAGGGGAGGTTTAGATTAGATATTAGGAAGAAGTTCTTCACTGTGAGGGTGGTCAGACACTGGAACAGGTTGCCTAAGGAAGTTGTAGATGCCCCCTCCCTGGAAGTGTTCAAGGCCAGATTGGATGAGGCTTTGAGCAACCTGGTCTAGTGGAAGGTGTCCCTGCTGATGGCAGGGGGGTTGGAACCGGATGATCTTTAAGGTCCCTTCCAATCCTAACCATTCTATGATTCTATGACTCCAGTGCAGTGGGAAACACCAGCAGCAAATGCAGCTTTGTCACTCGCATTCCTCCTCTCCTGACAGTTACACACTCTTGCATCTTACATCCAGATACAGCAGCAAAAAGGAGGCAGAAGAGCTGTGCAACCCTGCAACCAATTCCCCTGTTCAGTGACCAGGACAACACAGATATTAATGTGGAAGGCTATTGTCCTCTTGACAACTGCCCTATAATGATTCACAGATTTACAAATCACTTAAAGCTTGGACAGTAGGTTACTGATAAATCTGAACTCCCCTTAGAAACCAGTACAGACTGAGCTGAAAGGGAAAAGCCATCCAGAGTAGTTGGCTTGGACATTAATGCTTTAAAATCTTAAAAACCTACTACATGTGATCAAGGCAGAGAGGTTTAATTATAATGTTTAAAATACCCACCCAGAGGTAGAAGCTCGCACCTCTAGAGAGTTAACTCCACCTGGTTCCTGTCTGCTCTAAACAAATATGAGACCTAGAAACATTTTTGTATACTCTGGAATTTTCCATGGTTATCCTGAACGTTTTCCCTCTTCTCCCTTAGTGGGCTCTTTAAAAATCCGTTTGCAAATTGACTGCTTCGCCCAGCTCAGAGATGTCTCACTTCAGAGAGGAAATTATTCATTTATGAATACACTATATAAATCACTGATGAACACCACACCTGTAAAGCTGAATCTATAGTATTTCCAGAGAAAACCCAGCAGAAAACTAGTATGTAGTGAGCTCCACATGGCTTGAGTTCAGAGTATAAAAAAGCACGAATCCTACATGAAGTCTGGATATAAACAGTAAAGCAGCACAGCTCAGGTATAGAGTTCTACAGTTACATGTGCAGATCAGTGTTTACTTGAGATTTCAGACTATAAAAAGGCAGCAACGAATCAGCTCCTGCAATACCAAGGGCTGATGTAACTGAGTTAAACAGAAGGAGTGGAAAAAGTGATCTGGGCAGGAAAGGAGAAAGGGAAACAAATATTTCCTTTTTATTTTAATGGTCATCTTGATTTCATGCTAACCTGTGAATACCCAGTTTCCATTATGTTGAAGTCCCTTGTCCACATTAAACCCCTTTACTAATGCTTTATGTTTGGACTCCATGATCTCAGAGGTCCTTTCCAATCAGGAGATTCTATGATACTATGAAAACAACAGCTCAGAGGCAGCACCAAGAGCATAACTGTGTTTGCTCATCCCTAAGGGCTGCCAGTCACTCATTTCTGATAGCTCAGCTTTTCTGGAGGCAATGTCTGAACTGCCCAGGAGGAAGCTGAACTGCTTTGTTCCTCCGGGGCTCTCTTTATCTAAACCAGGGAAAGCCAGTCAGTGCTCCAACCAGATCCAAGCCCACACCACTGGGAAGAGGTGCATGGCGTGGCCCCCTCGCTACAGAAAGGACATGGAGGTGCTGGAGCGTGTCCAGAGAAGGGCAACGGAGCTGGGGAAGGGGCTGGAGCACAAGTGTGATGAGTTCATGGCTGAGGGAACTGGGGTTGTTGAGCCTGGAGAAAAGGAGGCTGAGGGGAGACCTTCTGGCTCTCTCCAGCTCCCTGAAAGGAGGGCGGAGAGAGGTGGGGGTGGGTCTGTTCAACCAAGGAACAAGTGACAGGACAAGAGCAAATGGCCTCAAGTTGCACCAAGGGCAGTTGAAATTGCATGTGAGGAAGAATTTCTTTGCTGAAAGGGTTCTCAGGCATTGGAAGGGGTTGGCCAGGGCAGTGGTGGAGTACCCATCCCTGGAGAGATTGAAGAGTCGTGTAGACATAGTGCTGAGGGACATGGGTTAGTCGGGGACTTGTCAGTGTTGGGTTAATGATTGGACTGGATGATCTTACAGGTCTTTTCCAATCGAGGCGATTCTGTGGTTCTGTGAAATGAGGGCTCAGGTCTCATCCTGCTGTGGAGTCAGGTTAGGGTTTAGTGATGCACCTCAACTCGCACCCAGGAAGAACACCCTTGCTTGCTCATTTGCTCAGCGTACTGACCACCAGCAGAACAAACTGGAAGACTCAAGCTCCGACCTAAAACCCTAACATCTTTCAACTTACTTACAAGAAGCAAATACCTGCAAAAGGAAAACACTTAAAATTTGTCTCTAGAAAGCTTGACTGGAATTTAGTGAAAAAAACTCTTCTACCTTTGGACACAGGCCTGCAAGTAAATATTACCCAGTAACGTCCAATGTACAGAGACAGGATCCCTGATGCAAGTTTTTAATCCACTTCAGAACAGAAGTACATAAATTTTAACAATTTAACAATAAAGCAACACACAATCATAGCATCATAGAATGGTTTAGGTTGGAAGGGACCTTAAAGATCATCTAGTTCCAATCCCCCTGCCATCAGCAGGGACACCTTCCACTAGACCAGGTTGCTCAAAGCCTCATCCAGCCTGGCCTTCAACACTTCCAGGGAGGGGGCACCCACAACTTCCTTGGGCAACCTGTTCCAGTGTCTCACCACCCTCACAGTGAAGAACTTCTTCCTCATATCTAATCTAAACCTCCCCTCTTTCAGTTTAAACCCATTTCCCCTTGTTTTGTCATTAGTTGCCCTTATGAAAAGTCCTAAGTTAAATTACTAACTAACAAAACAGACTCATGTTCATTTATCTTTTAAATCATCTACACTGTGGAATATTTAAGTGTTTCTAAACAGTGAAGTACTCTGTATCCCAAGATTTTCTCTCCTAGTTCTACAACAGACAAGTAACCACTGTACTCCCTCAAGTGACTTGGATTATTCAAAGAATAAAATGTCATTAACTGCTTATTAATACATATATTCATGTTCTTATGACATTTATTTGGTGCATCATAAGGAGGTTTTTGTGCTTTCAAAGTGATTTTCACCAGTGTGGCAAAATTATAGTTACCCTTCTTCTAAAAAACACAAAATCTGATAAATCTGTTCACTGCAAATTAGTACTTTCTAGACTTACCAAAAACCTCAAAGAAAATGAAAACAACATCAGAACTAATTTCCTTGACATTTAGAACTTGTGTTTGTCTGGGTAACATTCACATTATATATCTTCTTTTCCTCTCCCACATATCTCACACTACCATAACTTAAAACTAATGTCTGGTTTAGCACTATGCAGCTATCCTGACCACATAATGCAAATTCATGTATTAAAACCTGCAAAGTTATTTCCAGGAGAAACACACAGGGTAGAAAGTCTTACCAAGAGAGGCAATCCTTGAGGGCATTAAAATATGGATATCTGGATATGACACAAACAGCGAACGGTACGAAACAGACAGGCATCTTCCCAGTCTGTGCAGATTCCCAATGGGCCTGCCCATTCGAGGAATTACAGCCATCCTGCAAGAAAACTGCAGATTAATATGTTTCTGTTGATCATTAATTCATGGCTGGTATTTTCTTGAGAACCCTAGAGATATGATACCCAATTCCCTCTAAATTTCAAGGGGATTTGGATGCCTATCTCCCTTAAGCTCTTCAGAAAAACGACAGCCTACAAGACTTTGACATAGGTGTTAAAAAGAATTTCAGCACAACAGATATTGAGAAAGAACATAGGGTACAATCTTAACCAAAAAAAACTCTCCAAGGGACAAAGTCTGCTCCTAAATATTCAAAACTCCTAACTGAAATCCATAACAGTTTTTCCTAATGCAATGATGTTCCAATGTACTTCACTGAAAACGGCAATATAAAGTATGATTTGTTCTGTATTCCTACTGACACGAAAACATATCTGTTAACTGATTTTGTAAATTAAACCTGAAATTATTCTCAAAGTGTTCTGGTTTATTTTATAGTTTTTAATATGTTTTAATAAAAGCATCAGTTAAATAACATACTTGCATAGGCTGGTAGTACTGTGCAACAACACCGTATGTTCTGTTACCACAGACATCTGTGAAGACCAGGAAATGAATGTGGTCCTCTTTCACTTCAGAAGTTATATAAAGTCCTCCTGCAATGAAGGTAAAAACCTTTTTTTTTAACAACATATTTAAAGACAGTTGCTTGAAAATTCCTGACAAATACTGCATATTTCTACTTAATTTCAAGACAGAACCCTCATTCTAAGGGATTAAAATGCATGTATACAATCCATTTGATCTAAGGGTTGTTACAAAGGCTGTAAGCTGCACTTTGCTGAAGAAGCAAAAATATTATATAGTTATTCTGCATTTTAAGTGGCAAAATGGGTTTTGTTCACTTTTTAATTTTCTTTTAAAATATTTATAAGGTCTGCAATAGCGACCTGCATATTAATTTCTGCAATTAATCCTGGAGGAAACAGTCACTGCTTGAGGTATATCTTCATACTGAATGAAAAGTGAAAGAGTACTCAGTCATTTCAGGGGGGGGAAAAAAAAATAATAAAAAAAAAAGTGCATGCATGTGTGCACTTCACTCAAACCAAGATTTACCAGTAAGGGCTAAAGTGACTTTCAGCTTCCCTCTCTTGCAGGTGTTGCAGCTACTATTGCTAATAAATCTGTTTCACACCCCACAGCCATACAGAGTAAGAGCACCCCATTCAAATTAACAACTGCTTTCATCACTGACCTGCTCACAAGTGGACACATTTTTTTTTACAAGGTGAAATGGAAAGAGATACAGAAGATAATAATTAAAAACAAAAAAAAAGGCTGTACTATGGTTCAACAAATCTATATTAAAGCAGTAAGAAATGTAAACCCTACTGTACCTGGGAAGCAGAGCTGTGGCAAACCAATAAGATCAATGTCCTTTGGAACTGTAATATCTTCAGTGTCAGATGCTTTCTGCTCCCCATTGAGACTCTTCACGTTTTCAATCTTTGGTCTCTCTTTTTTCTTTCGGAAAGACCGGCGTTTACTTTTATTCAAGTTATTACCAGCATTAATCAGCTGAGTGTCCTCTCTGCTGATAAACGGAGGCACAAATACAGAAAGAACTTCTGGATCAAGGGGAGGAAGACTTTTGGGTTTTCTTTGAGTCCCCTATTAAAAAAAAATTAAAATACAAACAACCACCAAGTTGACATTCATCCTCATAGGTTTTTTTAAACCATTTTTAGCCCTGTTTTCTCTCTACCCCTAAACCCATACATTTAGAATACATTTTTTCTACTTCCTAAATAATTATTTTTTCCTTCTAATTTCTTGCTTTGAATATGTTAATAAAAGGGGAATACTCTGAGCATTTTCAGTAGGCAAAGAATCATTCTTCATCTTTCAAAATGCACCGTATCAGTGTTATGTGTTTGGCATAAGAAAACTAACAAATACCAAATACAGTATTTCCTCCTTTTAAGTGTTAGGATTAAGCATAAGCTCTACTTTAAATAAACACTGCTGGTAAGAGAAACCAGGCAACAAATATATGAAAACAAAGAAAGACAGCTGAACTCCCTAGATAAATCTTTGTTCAACTTCAGGAAAAGCTATGTTTTAATTCAGAATAACTGCTACTGAAAAAAAAAAAAACAAAACAACAAAACCTCCCAAGCTTTTCACAAGACAGCTTTAAACTTTATAAGGCAATTAAGAAAGTACAATTAAAAATGACCATCAGTGTTAAAATAAACACAATTTTAAGACCCTGTAGAACATGAAGCTATGAAGATTTCTTTATATACTGATGACGAAGTGGAACAGGCATCTCAAGAGCATGTACAGAATTACAACATTTTTTTAGTAGGCAGCTTTGAAACTGCACTGAAAGCCCTTGCTATGAAAAACCTGTGGAGGAAGTGATCAGACGAGGAGATTTCCTTGTCCTTGGGAACAATTTTTCTATTCTTGACCATATAATACAGACAAGCAGCTGCATTTTCAATTAATGCACTGCAATTTTCATTCTTCCTGCAAGGTCAAAACAGCAAGTAAAAGCTTTGTTTAGTCAACGGATATTTGGAAACAGGAAAGGCGAGTCCCACTGTGGCTAAAAAGCTGTTTCATATTCAACTTTTTGCTAACTGATTCAAAGACAGAGGAAGCATAGATGCTGCTTTTACCTTCAGACATGATGCATCAGTATTACTTGTATTTCAGATATTCCTCGAGAACCAATGCTGGCCTCTCTCACCATTTCCCTGCTTTCAAAAATAACTACAACAGACAAAGCTGTCAATCTTCCACCGTTCAAGTTTTGGAACAGAAAGTCTCAGCTTATATGTCCTAGTAGATGAGTCCACCAGTAGTTGTCTTCACATTTGAGCATCATAGGAAAAATGAGAAGGAATACTTCCCTTCACGATATATTAGTTACTCTTTCTTAAGCTCCACCATATTCTGTAATAGGATACTTGAAAGAAAGTACTTCAATAAAAAAAATCAGAAGTGAAAAAACACTCTTTTAATGAACACATCCAGTCTGAACTAGAAAGAAATTAGAATGGAAAAGAGAAAAGTTCAGATAAATACCCACTGGGATATTCAAAGATAGCAATGGCTTTAAAAAGTACATTACAAATTGGGGTACTGAGTGCCACATCCTGCCACACTAAAAACTCAAAGTGTCATTTTCCTTAGCTGGCAGCTGCCATCCATTTCAAGTGAAGAAACTGGAAACACAGATAAATCCAACATGATCACTTTCAAAGTAACACACAGCTAAACATTTCAGAAGAAAATTTAAAATTCAGGCTCAGCCCTGAGGTTGTTAGGCAAGAAAAACGCAGACCTACTCAAACAGTAGCATCCTCGACTTGGCAGATTTGCCCCGCAGAGGTTTTCACACAAGGTTGCTGTGACAGGGCAATCCCTGACTTGCATTGAAGGCATCTCTGTGCTGGGACGTGCTGGATGACAGCCAGCAATGTCACAGCCTCACAGTGGAACAGCTTCTCAAATGCCAGGTCCTTGATGTCTTGAACTAGAACACAGGCACTAAACACCATTTTTTTCTCCACAGAACTGCGCTGTCAGCACTGTCACCGACCCAGTGACTCTCTCATCACCATTCAAGTCAGCTCATATTAAGGTCTACGGCCAAAGTCATATTTTCGTACCCTTTCAGTTCAGGGATAGTGAATAGGCAGCAACAGAACAATATTGACTTATTTCTACTATTCTTTGACCATTCTCTACTTCTACTGGTACTTCTTCATTTTGAAATGCTTCTCTTCTGTCACTTTTTACTATCAAATGTCCTTGCATCATGCAGAGCTTCTTACAAACAGTAACGCCTTTTCTTTCCTGCAAGATTCCAGAAGTCCAAGATTTTATTCCATTCCCATTTACTGATTGTGTTCCTGTAACAACAGTGCCGTATAGAACACGGATAAGAGACAGACTTTTTACAATGACCACACTATTTTAGACACAAACAAGAAGTAGTGTGTTGAAACCACTCAGAGTGTGATTAGAGTGTGATCTCAGCTATTTGGTGTTTCCTTGATCTCGTTGTCCTCTTCCCATCACTGAAGATGTTAATCACATTTTCAATGTCATGAAAGAACTGGCTTCTTTAAGGAATAATTGGACAGGGAAGTATGAAGCCTTAGAAATAATAGGTTGGAAGGGACCTCTGGAGGTTTTAGTACAACTTTTTGCTCAAAGCAATAATGACTTTGAAGTTAGACCAGGTCGCTCTGGGTCTCATCCAGTCAAGTTTCAGAAATCCTTGCCACCTTGTGCTCCAGCCCTCACGTAGCTCAGCTTCTTCTGGTCTCACTCCTGTTTGTCAGCAGTTCTCTGGTACCAGGGTACCCAGATCTGGGACAATATTCCAGATGTGACCTCAAGAGTGTTGAGTAATAACAACAGCATAACATAGGCACTGTAAGAGACAAGATCTGTACCACTGACTGTGGTAGGTAGATAGAGAACCCAGTGAGGGAGCTGATAAGATCTGAGGTATCTCACAGACAGCTCACATGTCACACTTGCCACATCAAAACCCATCTTATAGCTGAAGATAACTTGGGAAAAAAGAGTCTTATCAAAGATGCCTGTATGATCTTCACCACTGTACATCTCGTTCTTGGAAAATACACACTGCCAACACTAAAAAAGGAATCGCCAGCTGAAAATAGTGGCCTTGGATCTCTTCAAATTTAAATCTTCAGAGTGACAATTATCTTGACAATAAGGACAACTGATGGATGACAGCCCAGAAACTTGCACTTCACGAGCTTCAGTGCAAAACGGTATCTTTGTTTCTGGAATCCCCACCAACGACAGGTCACGTAAGACTTTCGTTACTTTGGGAACGGGTTATATTATGTTCCCACTGACTTTATGCGTTGGGTTTGGGGGGGGGCGGGGGAGGGTGGAT